GGCTCCATGCGCGGCCCCACCGCCCCCCAGGCCCGGGTCACGAGGCGGCGGTGACGGCGGTGACAGCGGCGGTGGCGGTGGCGGCGGCGGCGGCAGTGGCTGTGGTGGTGGTGGCAGCGGCGCCAACGGCAACACCTAGAGGCCGCCCCTGCGCTTCCCTACCGCTCACGTGGGCCTGTGGAGGCGGAGCCAAGCGTTTCGCGGCTCGCTGATTGGCCACGCGCCATAATTGACCGCAGCGTCCAGGGTCGGGGAGGCGGGCTCTGCTCCACAGGGCGATGACGTGATTGGCCCAAGGGGTACTGATGGAACGCAGATGGCGGGGTTCAAGGGGGCGTGCTCAGCCCCCTGGGCGCTACACGTTGATTGGCTCAAGCGAGACTGATCAGTGGGTAACTGACAAGGCTCTGGGGGCGCCTGCCTCGCACAGATTGGCCTAGACGGGGTTGATGGAAGACTTCTGAGGATTGGGGTGCGTGGGCTCTGCTTGCTGCTGATTGGAGAATGAGGGGCTCCTAGACAGCTGCCAAAACACGACAGGGCGGTGCTGCCCTCCTTGCCGCTCAGCGGAAGCAGGACTTATATGGAAGTGGGCGTAGCAGCCGGCAGTGAAGGGGTCGGGCCAGAGCTCTGCCTAGGCGGGCAGGGTAACTCTATAGTGATTGGCTACAAAAGACAAATTTAGACCGAAGCAGAGGCAGAAGGGCAGGACAGCTGCCAGACAAGTGAAGGAGCAGAGTGGCGGAAACTAAATGCCGAGGAGGGCAGGGTCGAGCTGCAGCCAGAGTTATAAAGGGGTTGAACTTGGCTCTGTATTTCTTAGAAGCTGGACAATACATAGACTAAGGGCAGGACCAGGGAGGGCGGGATCTGGCTCCGTGCCCACTGGTGGAAACTGAACTATTTAGAAGCAGCACTGAAGCCAATTTAGGCCGAGCGGGGCATGGTTGTAATTTAAGGTTCCCGAGGAATGATTAGGATGTGGGAGAGGGGTAAACCTTAGGGCCAGGAGTGAAAGGCCAATTGCCCTGGGAACAAACCTCCACCCTGAATTGGCCCATTCGCTATCGTAATTAAAAGAGTAGTGCCCAAGATAAAAAAAAAAAAAAAAGGAGTCAGGTGGGGGCCCAGGTTGCCAAGACAAGGGAAGAGGGGACAGAGCAGTAAGTCTAATAGCAAGTGCTGCCAGGTAACAGGCTGCAGGCAGGACTTCAGGGGTGCTTTAAAGATTCCACACAGACTGGATCTCTGGGCCTCCTAGTAACTTTGTGCTTTAGACACAGGACACCTTAGCAAACAGTAGGGGTTAGGGGGAAAATGAAGGACCGTGTGACTCAAAAAGGCATTCAGGCTCTTTAATGTCCGGAGAGGGGGGAAGAAGTCAATGATGAGTCTCCTCCGGGATATTCTGCAGGCCTTGCAGTTCTCTAAGCCCCTGAAAAAGAGGACAGAAGAGATTGAACAGAGGCCCCACCCCAGGCTTGCACTGACCTCCCCTCCCTCAGAGCCACCCTGGCTCCAGCTTGGCTCCGTTTAGAAGGGGACAGATGGGCCTTCCAGTCCCTGGCTCTCTCCCTTCCTCAGGTCACCACCCTAAATGCATTGGAGACAGAGTCTGGGAGTGGGGTGAGCTGCTCTCACCTCTAGCAACATGTGGATATGGGCTTTGATATTCATTGAGTCCTTGGTGAGGCTGTCGCTGAGCCTGGAGAAAAGAAACAAGAAAGGGCGAAGTGGGCCCCATGATCAGAGGATGAGGCTTCCTCCTCATTTCAAGAGCTACCTATGTCCTGGATGACTTCCACACAGCAGGTGGTAGGACACCCACTATCTGACCTGCTCCTATACAGAGATGCCTGGCCATCATCTGAGTTGCACTAACTCAAAGAATTAGTGAATTACTGAATCCCTACTCAATGCCAGGTGGTATTAGGTACTGGGGAGACAGCAGAAAGCACAACAAACAAAAACTCCGGCCTCATGAAGCTCAAATTCTCATTGAGAGGGACAAATCATGGAGTAAAATACAGAGTATGTCAGATGGTTCTACGTATGATGAAAAAATTAGACAATAAGAGAAGGAGTATAGGAGTGGGGGCTGCAATTCTAATCAGAGTGCTCAGGGATGGTCTCACTGAGAACATTTGAGTACACACTTAAAATGAAGAAGTGAATCATCTGGATAGATGGAGGATGGATGTTATAGACACAAGGGGCAGCAAATGCAAAGGCACCAAGGTGGGGGTGTACCTGGCGTATCTGAGGCACAACAGAGGCAGTGTGGCTGGAGAATAAGTGAAGGCGGATTGCAGGCGGTGAGGTCAGAGAGCAGGAGGCAGATATGTAAAACCTACAAGGTCATGGTTAAGGACTCGGGCTTTATTGTAAGTGGGATGTGATCACAGCAGGGATGTGAACTGACTAGGGTTTTAGAGGATCCATCTGTTTGCTCTACGTAGAATTGACTGTGGATAAGCAGAGGTGATATGGAAGCAGGAAGCCCAGTGAGGAAGCTCCTGCAACAGTCCATGTGAGACATGGACTCAGGCCACAGTAGTAGCAGTTGAGGTGATGAGAAATAATTGGATTTGGGATATACTAGTATTTTGAAGGTAGAGTCAACAGGATTTACCAAAGGGTTAGATGTTGGGTGTCACAGAGAGTACTCAAGAAAGGCCTAAGCAACTGGGAAGCTAGAGTTGCCTGAAACCACTTTGGCCCTGGAATGTTGAGTTACACAAACCAGTGCATTCCTTCGATAAGCCAACTGGGATCACTTTCACTCCAAAGAATCCTCAATGACAAAGGGTCATGGGAGGCCTTTCTGAAGAATGTAGAATGAGTAAGAGTTAAACATTAGGAAAGTCATTTCCACAAAGAAGACCAGACGGCAGGAAAGAGCTTTTTGACAGTATTAGAAAATTAAGTGAATGATGGAAGAAAATTGGGTCCAAGAAGTAAGGGGCTAGATCATGCCGGATCTTGAAATCATGATAAGGAATGTGGACTTCATTGTGCTGAGCTATCTGCAAATGCAGGAGTCAGTTTTAGGGAAATGAAATACTGTAAGAAAGTAGAAGGCAACAACACAGGATGATAAATTAGAAAAAAATAGTATAAACCTGTTTACATATCAATGTCTCCCAAATGTATATATTCAGTCCAGACCTCTCTCCCGAACTCCAGCCTTGGGAGTTTTAACTACATCTTAAAAATTCAACCTTAATGTTTAACAAGCAGCTCACACTTAACAGATCCTAGATTGAACTCCTGATCTTCTCCTCTAATTCTACTCCCCGCCCCTGTCTTCTCCATCTCAGATAATGGCAACTCCATCCTTCCAGTTTTTCTTTTTTTTTTTTATCCTTCCAATTTTTCAGCCCCAAACCTGAACTGCTCTTTCACTCACACACCACATCCAATCCAGCATTCTATTTAAAATTGTAACTACAATTTTTCTTATCTGCATTCCATGCTGTTTTCTGTAGAATGGTTTGTGACACACTACATCATATACATGTTTTCGTCTGTCTCCTCTGACTAGAATGTAAACTGTGTAAGATTTGGCAGAGATTTGGTCTGCTTTGTTCCCTGCTGTATTCCCAGGAACCCAAACAGTATGTAGCACATAGTAAGCACCCAATGTATATTGAAGGAATAAGTGAATGACTACTCTACTCAAAGGAATGTGAAATCCTCAAATGATGGTTGAGTCCATGCTTATGGACAAGAAATAAATAGAGGGTGTTGTTGCCAGAAAGCAAGAATGCTTTCAAGAAAATCTAGGGTAGTGATCAAAGAATAGAGGAATGAAATTGATCAGCTTGATCCCTTGATCAGGTACAATTTGAACATCAAAAAAAAGAATTACTTAATGGTACAAGCTTAATCTATGAAAGGCTATGAGTTCAATACTTAGAAAAAAATAAAAGTCGTCAAATGCTAGTTGTAACACAAAAGGGATATGTTGAATTTATTGCTACTGATTTAACATGTAAGGCAGTGTTACTAGTCATATGGTTATTCTGCTCCTTCTATAATGACATGTCTGTTTATGGGTGTGAATGTGTACTCTCGTGTGTAATCAGGAAAGAATACACAAAGAGACCTGACCCTCCCACTCCCCAAACAAAAAAATATACTAAGAACAGGAGGGACTGATAGGACATTTTTACTACATAAAAAACCTGAAAGAAAGTTGAAAGTTTGCCATAAGAAACCACGCATTTTAAAGAGAGCAAGCTACACAGACTCAAATCCTCATCTTCTAGAAAGAATAAACTTCTAGGGGTTCCCACTAATTATAATTAATAGAGATTCAACTAGATTTCTCATCACAATAATAGACTACACCAATATATCAAAAAGACCAGACAAGGGGGCAGGCACTGACAACTTAAAGACATCAAGTCTCATAAAATTAAAATCTATTTGAAAGGCTCATAAATCCTGTGACATAACAAGGAGAGCTTTGTTATAAAAAATGGTCTTGGTCTAAATGACCACCAGTTCAGAATTGCGTTGGCCTGTGAGAGCAGGCCCCCCAAGTAAACTGTTCACCAACTGGCCTGATCACGAAGATTTAGAAATCTCAGCAGGTCTGAGGCGCTATGTGGTCTAACACTGAGACCCTGGAAAGGTTTGAAAAGAGATGTACTGAAACCCTAAGGGAGGCAACTCTGGAAGAAATGAAAGTAGGAATAAAGATAAATATAACCCAGAAGGCATTTTAGATCAGTGATATTCACTTTAGTGAGGTGTTAATCTAAGTATATTCCTCAGGGTCCCCTCACTCACTCCACTTGAGCCATGCTCACCTCTCCTGGCAATTCCTCTAACACAGTAGGCACACCGGTCCCCTTGCCAGGAATGTTCTTCCCTGGACAGCCCCCTACCTTGTTCACTCAACCAAGTGACTCAAATGTCACTTCCTCTGGGAGGCCTTCCCTAGCTACATTTCAAACCTCTCATCCACATTCCCAATTCCCCTTCCCTGCACAAAACCTTAAAAGAAACCGGAGCCCATACTTTCTTCCCACATTACCTCCCCATCACCACCAACAGAGACCTGCTTCAATCCCCACTTTAACCTGTTACCAGCATTCACTTTTAGATTCATTCAACAAACACAGATCGCCTACTATATGCTATGTACTATTCTAGTCACTTAGGGCATAGACAAAATATGTACCTTTATCGTATAAACCTTATGTCCCAATGGGAGGAGGCAATGAACATTAGAAAGAAGTAAATTTCACAGTAAACATTAGGGGGTCATAAGTATCAGGGAGAAAGAAAAAGTAGAGCGAGGGAAGGGAATCAGGAGTGCCAGGGGTTGCAATTTTAAAGTCAGGTTACAGAAGACCTCTTTGAGGAAGTGACATTTAAGCAAGACTCACACTGAGTAAGGAGGAAGGAGCCATGCAGGCACCTGGGAAGTAGTACTGCAGGCAGAGAGAACAGCCATTGCCATCACCCTGCGGTGGGATCATTCTGGGGTTTTTTATATATTTTATTGATTTTTTTACAGAGGAAGGGAGAGGGATAGAGAGTTAGAAACATCGACGAGAGAGAAAGATCCATCAGCTGCCTCCTGCACACCCCTTACTGGGGATGTACCCGCAACCAAGGTACATGCCCTTGACCGGAATCGAACCTGAGACCCTTCAGTCGGCAGGCCGATGCTCTATCCACTGAGCCAAACTGGTTAGGGCCATTCTGGGGTTTTTAAAGAATCCTGTGAAGGTCAGTGTGGTGAGAGTACTGAACGAGCAAAAAAAAAAAATTAGGTCTGGCTGGTGTGGCGTTGACCTATGAACCAGGAGGTCATGGTTCAATTCTAGGTCAGGGCACATGCCCGGGTTGCAGCTAGATCCCCAGTAGGGGGCGTGCAGGTGGCAGCCGATCAATGATTCTCTCTCATCATTGATGTTTCTATCTCTCTCTCCCTTCCTCTCTGAAATCAATATAAAATATAAACAAACAAACAAACAAACAAACAAATAAATAAATAAAAGATCTTAAAAATATTATCAGGAGGTGAAGTCAGAGGTAACTTGTTTTATTGTTAGCGATTTATAGGCTGAGACTCCACGGATCTGGTCAAAATTGTGCTCATGTATAACAGTATAGGTCTTCTAGAATGTGAGCCTTCAAGAAGCCCTGTCTTGTTCACTGCTGCCTCCCCACCATCAAGCACAGAGTCTGCCATACAGCAGATGCCCAATACATGTTTGCGTGAATGAAAAATACATTATTGAGTGCTTAATATGTGCTACATCCGGGGCTGAGCTTTGCACCCCCCGTTTCTTCAGCCCTACCCCTGAGGAGGAGGGGAGATGGGTCCCTAAGTGTCCCAGGAAGCCATGGGGAAAAGGAGAGGTATTGCAAATGGTGGTGTTCTTAGACACTATCCTCCTGGAATAGACTTACTCTGTCAGGAGATTGCTCTTACGATCAATGAACTTGAGAGCTTCTGCCAGTGTCAACTCCAGGAAAAAACCATATCCAAGGGCCACATAGATCCGTGAGGTGTCTGAGCTAAGGAAACAGTGGTTAGAGGAAGTGGGGCAAATTCTTACCCCTGTTTAGCATACCATACAGTTTATTTAAGACTTTTTTATTCCCCTCTCCTCCCCTCCTTCCCTTCCCCAAATTGCAGCTCTGGGAGAGCAGGAATGTTGTCCTATTTTATTCACTGCCACATCTCCAGCACCTAGCACAGTGTCTGGTACATAGCAAATACTCAAAAAAATATTTATTGAACGAAGGAAGGGGAAAGCTGAACCCTGTGGGCTTAAAGGGGCAGGAAGACACTCACACAACTGTGTCAACGAAGAAATTACAGCCCAAATCCACCTGCATATATAACTCCGAGTGTTTAGCTTCCTGTGGGGCCAGAGAAAAGAGGTAGGGGTTAGTGGTCAACTTTTAAGCCATGTGACAGGTTTTGGTCTGGGTTATCTCCTCCCATGCCCCTCCCTTGCCCACAAAAGAAGGTACCCAACCTTGGCATCTTTACCTGGAGACGCTCAATGACATTTCTCAGTTGAAGGTATTTGGACAGCTGCTCATATACCTTGTCACGATGATCCAGTACCTTTCTGATGGGACATGATGGGACAAGAGTAAAATGGTGACCAACAGGAAGCCCTGTCCTTGGAATACCTCATATCATGACCCTCTGAGACCCTCAAGTCACCGTGCCCTAAAGAGGGGCTTTAGTGCAGAAGTTAAGATTTGGACTCTGGGTCAGACTGCTTGGGTTTGAATCCAGGCTCTCCTTTTACTAGCTGTTTGACGTTGGTAAGTAAATAACCTCTTTGAGATTCAATTTCCCCATCTATAAAACAGGGATGGCAAGTATTACCCCATAGAGTCATTAGATGGATTAAATGAGTGTTTACTATAAAGTACTTAGAATAGTGCCTGTCAGATAGTAAGCTCCATATATGTGTTAGCTATTATTTATTAGTATTATTATATTACTCTCAATGCCTCCCTCCAATCAGAATGTCTTATTCTCATCCTAGAAAAATCCTCCATCCCTTTTAGGATGCTCTTTAAAAAAAAAACTGTTTATTGATTTCAGGGAGGGCAGGCGAGGGAGAGAGAGACAGAAACATCAATGATGAGAGTCATTGATCCGCTGTCTTCCGCACGCCCCCTAGTGGGGATTGAGCCCGCAACCCGGGCATGTGCCCTGAGGGGGAATTGAAAACTGTGACCTCCGGTTCATAGGTCCACACTCAACCACTGAACCACACCGGTGGGGCTAGGATGCTCTTAATACTAGTTGTGAACACTCTATTTCTTGCTTAGATTGATGATAGTAATAATAATTTTTCATACTCATTGAACCTCTAGTATCCACATTAAATCCTTTACCAGAACTGCTCAAAACCACTGATGGAACATGATGGGACAAGAGTAAAATGGAAGGATCCATCAACTTCCCCATTTCACAGATGAGAAAACTGAGGACCATAAAGGCCAGGAGAGGCACGTGTTCGCACTGATGGCTAAATGGCCCAAACTGGTTTCAAACCTGAGAACTCTAGCCTAGCAAATCCAGCTCTTAACTGTTCAGTAACATCGAAGGCCGCATGTGCACGGACACATCCTCTATAAAGGCGCCAAGTCCCAGTCAAGTAGCACCCCAACCGTCGCCCCTCCTCCCCTCTTGAATGGCGCGGAGGGCCGGGCTCCAAAAACCTTGCCCACCAATCAGAAGGCTAGACCCTGACTCCTACCGCCCTGCTCACCACGTGGCAAGTTCCCTACGCCCCGCCCCCCACTGTCACTCACTGCAGGTCCCGCTGCAGCACATCAGAGATGAAGGCTTCATAGCGCAGCACTTTCTCCCCCGTGGCGTCCAGGGCCCGCCGCTTAGGGGGCGTCGCCATGATGGGCTCCTGAGGAACGGGGAGGGGGAAGACCACGTTGAACACTCAGTGTGTCCTCAGGCACAGTCCATCTTCACCCTCTCAACGTCGGGAGTGAGCACGTCCAGCTAATGCTGGGCGGGGGGGGGAGGCGTCCGCCTTCTTCCCCTTCCAACTCTGGGGCCCGCCACCCAGGGATACCCAAACGCAGCCCTCACCTTAGAGCCGCCGGCAATAAGGAAGGTTGGTAAGAACCATGGCTTCCGGGTGGCGCGGCTGAATGACGTATGAAGAGGGCGCGGGCCAACCGAATAGCCAGGTGGGCGGGGCGGTCCGAAACGGAAGAAAAAGGAGCGGCGGAGAAGAGAAGGGCGGGGCTAGCGGCGTCCCGGGAGATTGCGGAAGTGGCCGAGCGTGGGAACCCGGACTGCGCGCGCGCGCGGAGCCTCTGGGGACCGTTGCGTAGCTGGGGGCGGGCCTTAGTGGGATTTGGCGGGTTCTGGAGCCGCCGGGACGCACAGTAGACGTAGAGAGTAAAAAGCATTTTGTGTCTAAAAGCCAGAGCCTTCCAACTCTGCTGGGTGGTTAACCACAGTGGTAGAATCTGTCATTTTTCTGTTGTCTGTACTGACAGCCTTTTTTATTTACGTGGATAATTGAAAATTGACTAATTATGAAATCTGACAACCTCAGAACAAATTTGTTGAGTGAGCATCACTTTTTAGAAACAATGTGAATTGAAATATTGCACCCACTAGCCAACCCAAGTAATGTCTGCTCTTGGTTAAAGAATGTGCTATCAATCACAATATCCCCCATCCCCAGTCCCCCAAAACACACCAAAAAAAAAAAAAAAAGGAAAGAAAGAAAAAAGCCAGAGCCTTGGAAGCAGGAGTGCAAGAATGGGTTATGGTTCTGATATGTAAAAGGGGAGTACAACCCTGTGATCTATCGCCCTGGATTTTTCTTTTTTTACACGGAGAGTTTGGCTTTGACTCTCAGTAATGGGAATGAATGTGAGCATTTCAAAAGTTTAAAACGGAGACAGTTTTTCAAAAATTCACCCTTGATAACTCCAGCTCTGTGGCTCCCAGTGCATAACTAGGGTTCAAGCAGAAATTGACAACACACTGTTTAATCACCTCATTTAATAGAAGCATCAAATAGAGGGTTGCAGAAGTCCTCTGTCCAAGATTGGCTATCTTATATTTAGAAATAGTTTCTGTATATTTTTTATATATGTAAGTTTTTCATTATTTTTTTTTGCATTCAAGTTGCTGAATGAATTTATTTCCCAAGTTCGATTTTTAAATAATAGCATCTAACCCAGCAAGTCCAGGCCTGAGCCTGGAGGAGAATCCAGAGGCAGGGATTCCCCACATGCTATTCCTGCCTGTAGGGCCTAGAGCAAGTCAAGATTTTCTTTGCCCTTAGAACAAAATGATTGTAAAGAAACATTGAGATTTAAACATTTTGGGGGTAAATCTTTTCATGCTACATATAATTTAAATTATATTTAGAGTGACTGAAACAGATACTGTAGGTTTGAAATGTAAAAATAAAGTTGGAAACATGGTCTTAAAAAGTAAAAATTGTTGCCCTGGCCAGTGTTCTCAGTGGTTAGTGCATTGGCCTGTGCACTGAAGGGTGGTGGGTTTGATTCCCGGTCAAGGGCACGAACCTGGGTTACAGATTCAATCCTGGGCCCCTAGTCAGGGCTTGTGCGGGAGGCAGCCAACCCACGTGTCTCTCTCATATAGATGTTTCTCTCTCCCTCCATCCCTCCCTCCCTTCCTGCCTTCTTGCCTTCCACTCTCGGTAAAAAGCAATGGAAAAAATATCCTCGGGTGAGGATTAAAAGAGAATAAATAATTTTTTTAAAAGTAAAAATTGTTTTTGTGAAATGCAAGTTAATAGACTTAGACCCATCTCCAGCTCACCAGAACTCTGTTCTCCCTGTTACATAAAGATAATAAATGTTAATACCCTTTTTCACAGGAACAATTTTTACATTTCAAACCTACAGAAAAATTGGCAGTGAACACCCATACAGCCTTCATTTAGACTCACCAGTTGTTAATATTTGACCACATTTACTTTCTTTCAAGACCACAAGATAATTGTTGACATATCATGTTAACATTATGACATATAATGACAATAGCATTCCAGCTTTTGGATGGCCTGTGTGTATGTTTTTTTAAATTTAATTTATTGAGGTGAGATTGGTTCACAAAATCATACAGGTTTCAAGTGTACAACTCAATAAAACATATTAGCACCATTATGTGTCAAAGTATTACCAGAATATGCATGGCAGCATTTTGTATAACAGCAAAACATTAGAAATAACCGAAATATCCATTAATGATGGATGGCTCTAATTAATAAAGGTATGTCATTACAACAGAACATTAACAGTACATCAGAAAGTTATGATCCAGGACCTGTATGTACCTAACAACACGGCCTGAAAAGAATAAAGTCTTAAAAATAAAATTCTAAAAAAAACCCCAAAAAACAAAAATAAAATTTTAAAATTCTAAAACTTCTTTTAATATATTTTTTTATATTTTTCGCTAAAAGTATTACAAAGGGTATTACGTAAGTGTCCTTTTTTCCCCCCGGCCCTTGACAAACCCCTGCCCTCCCTTACCCCCCAGTGTCTTATGTCCATTAGTTATGCTTATATGGATGCATACAAGTCCTTCGGTTGATCTCTTACCCCCCTCCCTCCTGTCCCCCAACCCTCCCCGGCCTTCCCGCTGCAGTTTGACAATCAGTTTGAGGCAGCTCTGCCTCTGTATCTATTATTGTTCAAAAGTTTGTAATGGTCTTTATTATCCATGAATGAGTGAGATCATGTGGCATTTTTCCTTCATTGACTGGCTTGTTTCACTTAGCATAATGCTCTCCAGTTTCAACCATGCTGTTGCAAATGGTAAGAATTCCTTCTTCTTTTAATATTTTTTGTAAACCAGGTTACCCAGCAAAAAAATTCTGTCTCTGGTTCTCCAGGAATGTATTTTGCCTTCATTAAATTTTAATAAAATGTTTTTAGACCTGGAAAATATTATGCTAAGTGAAATAAACCAAACTGAGGAAGACAAAGATCACACGATCTCATTTATTTGTGGAATCTAATGAACAAAATGAATGGACCAACAAAATAAGACCTGAACCAGGGAGGCATGGAACAGACTGACATACCTCAATGTGGGGGGTGGAGGGAGGGGCGAGAAGAAATAAACCAAAGAACTTATATGCATAGTTGGGGGGCAGGGGGGAGGGTAAGGGTTGGGAGAGGGGGCAAAGGGGGGGTTGGGAGATATCTGTAATTCTATCAATAATCTCTCTATATAAAACCCTAATATGCAAATAGATTGAATGGTGGAACAACCAAACAAGCGGTCGCTCTGATGTGCACTGACCACCAGGGGACGCACGTAGAGCATGGTGGGTGTCAGCAGCAGGCAGCAGAGCACGGAACATGGTGGGCATTGGCTGTGGCGGGATCGTGGATCAGGTGAGCAGAGGTACCAGACCAAGGTGGGGCGCCGTTTGCTGTCATTGGGGCGAGCCTCTGGTGATTACTGAAAATTCTATGCTCCTGTGTGCCACAGTCCCGCCAGGCACTCACACCAGCATTGGCCCCAATCGCTCAGCGCTGTTAGCAGGTGCGAGTGGTGGCTGCCGGCCCCGATTGCCCCTCAGGGCTTCTCCACCTCCCCCTGCTCCTGAGGGGCGCGATTGGGGCGGCAGCTGCCTCTCGTACCCGCTGCCAGTGATGGCCCTGCTTGCACCTGCTGCCAGTACTGGAGTCACCGCTTGCACCCACTTCTGGGGGCAGTGCTGCTCGCACCTGCAGTTGGCACCAGAGTCACCGCTCACACCCGCTGCTGGTGCCCAGCGCTGGTCCCGATCACTCGGCACCATCTTCTCCACCTCCCCCTGCTCCTGAGGGATAATCAGGGCAGCAGCCATCACTCGCACCCACTGCTGGCGCCAGCCCCAATTGCTCCATGCTGTGTGGGAGTGGTGGCGGGAGTGGGGCTGCCGGCAGACAGGGGATGGGGGAGGGCTATGGTGGGAGGGCACGGAGGATGGGCCGAGACCCACCCCTGTGCCCACCGCAGCCTCACAGCCCACAGTTCCTTTCAAGGTGTACAAATTCGTGCACTGGGCCCCTAGTAAAAATATATTAAAAAATAAAATTTTAAAAAACAATTGCATATTCACTAGAATTTTAAAAAATCGCACAGAAGGTTTTCGGTATACCTTTCACCAAGTTTGCTACAATGGTTAAATCTTATGTTACTTAGTATGATGTCAAAGGAAACTGACATCAGTGCAATGTATGTATATAGTTCTCTGCTATTTATCACATGTGTAGATTCAAGTATCCTCTATCACAGCGGTTCTCAACCTGTGGGTCGCGACCCCTTTGGTGGTCAAACGACCCTTTCACAGGGGTCACCTAAGACCATCCTGCATATCAGATATTTACATGACGATTCATAACCGTAGCAACATGACAGTTATGAAGTAGCAACGAAAATAATTTTATGGTTGGGTCACAACATGAGGAACTGTATTTAAAGGGCCAGAAGGTTGAGAACCACTGCTCTACCACAATACAGAAATATTCTTTCACTGTGATTATCTGCTACCCTTTATAGTCACTGTGGACTCGCCCTCTTCCCACTATCCCTAACATCCTCTTTGTTGGAATATCTCTTTGTGTCCTTTAGTCATATGTGCACAGTCTTCAAGACCTCTGGTGATAAGTAGCAACTCATCACAGCCTTTCTTGTCTGTTTCACTCCCTGGGTCTCGTTGAATTTTTGACTGACATGTTGGTTTATTGCTTGCCCCAATCAGTATTGAGAGATCAGCTAGCTGTGCTCTTGGCCTTTCCTGAATGTTAGCCACTCAAATCGCTGTCTTTGATAATGCCCTTAGCATGGAATTCCTTACTTTGCTCTAAACAAAGTCAGGCCTCTCCTGCAGAAGAGATGCTTGTCCTTTGGTCTGCTCATTTCTGGTGTAACGTCTGTGTCTCAGAGCTGGAGGAGGGGGAGGGACAGGAAAAGCTCCAGGTTAAAACAAAACAGATTCTCACGGAGATTCAGTAGACTTTGTTGAATAAGCACTTCTCAATTTGTTGTATGACTTTGGTCAATTTCAAATCTTTTACTGGTTGTTTTGACATTTTTGTCCACTTTCGTAATTGCTTTTTGGGGAGAGGATTTGCCAAGCTCCTCATCTAGCCATTCAAGAAG